ATAAAATAAAAAAAATCAGTTAACTTATTTTTTTTTTTTCCAGTGGCCCTAATCCTCTTCCGTATGGACGTCAGTAGAAGCTCACTGGTTTATCTCCATTGTGTCACATCAGAAGCTCAAGGCAAGTTTATTTTCAGTACATTGACAATTCAAAGTGCTTTACATGATATGATAAAATAGAAGGAAAATAAAAGCAGAATAAAAGCAAATAAGGATAAAAAAACATTTCAAAAAATAAAACGGGTTGATGGCCGCACAGAGAAGCAGTAATTCGGAAAAAGATCCCAAACCCAATACCGAGTCTGTCTGACTCATATCTCTTTTATTCAAAAGCATTTTTATTGTTTTGATCCAGTATTTAAATTTTCTAAGCAGCTGGGTTCTGAGCTGTTAACCAGATTTACCAATTAAAATGACCTAAAACATTTCTAAAGATATTCTGATTTATTGAGTTGCAGCTGAAGTTCTCATCGTTTCAGCTGAAGCTATTAGGTTGAAACAGATAACAGGAAATGACCTCCAGTAACCAACCAGAAGCTCCATCTCTCCTTTATTACCAACAGATGGACGGAGCGACGCTCCGCTGCAGACGGTGTCGCCGGGCGCTCCTAGACTTTACATGTTTGCTGACGGTGGGTAATGTTTCGCTGGGCAGGTTCCTCTCTTCTTCTGAGCTAAAGTCTATCGTTAGCTCCTGTTTATCCGCTGGGATTTAACTCTTCAAACTATATAATCATGAGTTCTTTATCGTTTTTTATTCTGCTCTTCTTCTCATAACTTTTTGAAGTGTCTTTTATAAAGTATTTTTTCTTATTTTGATTTGATGATTTGAAAAAACAGCTAAAAATAAAATGAAAACCGACTTTGGGGGAGTTGCTCCTTGTACGATGCGGAGTCTAAAGCAGCGCTGTGATTGGTTGGTTCTCTTTCAGGCTGCTGATGAAAGCCCAGCTGCTGGCTGTAGCATTTGGCACATAGATGCTGACAACCTCCCAGACTGGATCCTGGCTTTGGTTCAGCAGGTCAGTCGGTTCTGGAGGAGCTCACGTTTCAGCTGCTGTTTTATGGAAATAATGTTAAAAATTTTATGTTTTTTCATTAACAGAAAGGTTTTTTTTAATGCAAAAAAAGACTTCAAATTACTTTTTTAATTCAGATTTTGTGTTTAGTTTTTTCCCAATCCCCTAAACATAAAATATTTATAATGTTCTGAAGACATTTTTTATTTCCGATGCTTCCTGAATGCAACACATTGGAATATTTCGTTCAGGTGTTTTAACTGTCAGTCATCGTTCCATAACTGCTGTCAATAACCCCCCCAATACCCCCACTGAGGGGGTACCAGTTTAAAACCAGTAATTTAAAAGAAAATTGAAACAAAAAAGACAAACTTGAATCTAAAAAGCCTTTTTTTTTACCTTTGTCTTCAGTTTACATTCCTTTTTATCAGTTTTCACATATTTGTTCAGTTTCAGAGTTGTTGTTTTTTTTAGTAAAAAATCAAACAAACTTTATGGCACCAGTTGAGCTCCATACCGTTGCTGTTGAATCATTTTTCACCATATTTGTTCTCTGGTTTGTTTGGGTTTTACTGCAATTTCTGCCATGTGAAGCATTTCCTGAGCCTTTCCCTCGTGGTTCTGGGTATCCAGTCAGACGTCTCTCTCCCCCCTCAGGCTCTGTGGACTGCGGGGAAGCTGAGCTGCCGCCACTGCGGGGCTCGTTTGGGCGGCTTCAGCTTCCTCAGTCGCTTCGACTGTCCGTGCGGCCGTGATGCCAGCGTCCATCTCAGCAGGAGTCGGGTAGATCTGGACGAAAAGAACCACCTCTTCATCGTCCAGCCTAGGGGGGCGGGACGCGCGGGTCGGCCCGTGGACCTGAAAGAGAACCCTGCTCCGGAAAAAGCCCTGGTCACCCGCCTGCCATGTCTGCCGCCCGTCGCTCCTGCAGAGGCTTTGGATCCTGTCCCTGCAGCTAAGAACCTGCAGCACTGTGCTGCAGCTCACACACATACATCACAGACTGATCTTTCTGTTAGAGGTCCAACAGAACCTGAGTCGGACTCAGATCACGAAGCCTGCAGAGATGCTTCCCCCTCGGTTTCTGTAATCCCTGGAGGATCTCGGTCTGAGGAGCTTCAGCCAGCAGAGGAAGTTTTCCTCAGGAGGAGATCCACCGCTGAAGGAGAACCTGAGCGGGCAGAGGAAGATGTAAGTTTTATTCTTTGCTTTTTTAAGAAAAAAAAATGCCTGGATCGAGGAATATGTCACAGTTGATCTCTGCTCGGGTTTACTTAATTCTCCTTTCAAGGAAAAGTCCGATCAGCAAAGGGCAATCAATGGATCATTATTTATACCTGAAACTTCGTGGTGATTTAATTTATCAGTAAAAAAATTAAAATATTTTTTGTTGCGATCACCGAGTCCAGGAGCGGCCATCTTTGCCCAAATATAGTAACCCCTCCCTCCTGCCATCTTCCAGCAGTGAC